GAAAGAGGGAAGAGGAGTAAAGCTCTTCCTAATGCACAGCCCTACAAAGGAGGCAAAGAACACAGGATGCCTTTCCTCCCTTTTCATAATCAAAAATCTATTTCTAATTTCTGAACACCGTGCTAAGTAGTAATATTTTGGAACCATTGTTCATTCCCATGGTAACAACCCCTGATATTACAAGCAGTTAATTACATCGTTACTGTGATACACTGTGTGGTTTATTTACAGAAGGGATAAACATTTAGTGAAACCATCTTTGAATATATGAACAAAATAAACCCTGCTATACTATTCCTCTGGTCTTTTCTTCTGCTCTATGGAAAGAAAATGATGTATTAGCAGATATCTCCTGAAACTTACAGAAATATACTGCTCTTGATAAAGAAACATATCATCATTATAGAGCAGAGAGGAGAATTTAAAAATTAAAATTATTTTTTAAAAAGACATTATATAAAAATATACTTCGTATAATTTGATTTGATATAAATAGGTTATAAATTAATAGGGATTCAAAAGAGAATAGATGACTTTGTGGTTATTTTGATCATTTCCCAGCTACAACACATCATCTCTATCATGAAGTAACTGCACCTGACTGTCATCAGGACCCCTCTTGCAAGGGAAAGAATTTGAGAAAATACAGCCAAATAATTTTGAATTGTCTCACTGCAAATAATGCCAATCAAATAATTCTGTGGTGAATGGCTTCTGGATATGCATTTTCAGAAGCTTGACATAATATTGCTTTGTTAAAAGTGACCTGCAAATATAATGCAGCCAATACAGGAACAAGAACATCAGTTGAATAATAATGTCTGAAAATATTTAAAATAACAATCTAAAAAAAGTAGTTTTTTTAAAAATAAGAACCTTAAACTTTATCAAATTCAAAAGGCAGGCCTTAGAATAAAAACCTAACATTGATAGTTCTTAAAAATATTGTATACCTCTTTGTTAAAAGAATTAGTTCTGGGAGGCACCCCTAATTTTATATATCGGTATGTTTTTATCAATAATTTAAACAACTATTAAGGTTACCATGGCTGACTGCAGCTGGAGTGGTAGCAGAAAATAGAGTACATTGCAGAGTTACCTGAATTACTCAGCTAAAACACCAAATGGCAAGAAGTGAATTTTAACATAATCAAATGCAAGAAAACACCTATGGAAATTAATAGTTCCTGATTTTACCTACAGGATAAAATCCTGTGTTTAGAAAGCCGTGGTTCACCAAATTTTAAATATCATTATGGACTACCATAGACCCATAGAATCACAGAAAGTTTTAGGCTGGAAAGGACCTCTAGATGTCAGTTGGTCCACCCTTCCTACACAAGCAGGGACATCTTTACCTAGGTCAGGGCACCCAGGGCCTTTTCAAGCCTGACCTTGAATGACTGCAGGGTTGGGGCACTGGACTATCACCTCAACCTATCACTTTATCAAAGAGCATTAATGTGATGCTGCATTATAAGTGTTTAAAAGAGGAATGTCATGTAAGAGGAGAGAGATGACCTTTTGATTCCTTTTGCTAAGTAACCACTTTGCTGAGTCCCGTGCTGATAACAGCATACCCTGATCTGATTAACATACTTCAGAAAGCGTATGAAAACGTTGAAGAATTCAAAGGAAGACTACAAAAATAATCAGATCCAAATGCAACCCATATAAAATGAATTTTATGTGTCCTAACTACCCAAGACAGTGTCGAGAGACTACTTAATCACTGTTTATGGGTAAATTAAAGGATTTTCAACTTTGCTGTCAAGAATGCTGTAAGAGCCAAAAGCTGGGTGATGAAGTCAGAAAAATTCAGCCCCACAGGAAGTGGTGATATCCTTGAAGCTGTGTCCTGACAGAATACAAGAGGAGTGATATAACTCATCATTATGTGCTCTGCAGTCTCTGAAATGAAGCAGTTTTAATGGGTAAGAGACACCTGGGGAAGAATGAGAACAGGTGAAGGAGCAGCCACTGCTAACTTTTCCTTTAACCCAGACATTACCATATATGCTCTGAATTTTATTTTGCTGACATTCCTAAAAGACTAGAGCAGTGGATGGACACTGGAGGTAATCCTCAAGGGGACGTTCTGTGATGTGATAGAGAATGCCCTTTCCTGGACAGCTTGCTGGCACATGCTGCTCAGATCCAGGATAAACAGAATGAGTGTGATTGACATATTTCAGGTCAGAAGGGACCTTGTACAGGTCATAGCAGCAGGA